TGACGACTTGCTTTGGCCAAATTGAGTCTCAGCACCGAATATGGATTGGGCACATCGATGCACGTAAGATGAGGCGGTGGCCTGCCCGCCTCATCTTACGCCAACATCGGAGGACCAGATAGCCGAGCAAGCATCACGCCCGAGTCCACCACCCGTGATGAAAGTTCAACAGGTCAGAGCCCGCGTGCCGTCCAACGAAGTACCCACGCGCAGGAAGGCAATTAGCGTTAATTGTCGCTGTATGTTTGCAGTAATGGCCGTATCCTATCAGTGCTGCAAACTCCTGTACATATATTACCCTTTTCTGCTACTGTTTCCTACTCTTGTCTCTGATGATGAATCCACAACGGATGTCGAAACGTCAGGCGAATAAAAGTATTGTCCCAGCGATCGAGTCGTCTTCTTCTCAATTACTTCCTGGGACTCGCACGTTCGTTTGTATGGATGGACTGTTTACCGTTGCCAGCCATTGCGCCCCTGACTACCACTGACAGCATTTGCCGCCAAAGCGGGGTGGGTGTGTGGGAGATGCTACGCAAGTCCACCTCATTATCCACTAAATCCCGCATGAGTCACCAGGGGCACGCGATGCTCATCGTCGCTCGCGGCAAGAAAGAGTGAAGACAGGGGTGTCCATAGAGAGAGAGAGACACAGAGAGGAATAAAAACAGATTCACATATTCCACCCAGCTTCGGGTAAAATTTGAGTCTGAAGGTCAAGAAAAATGTGAACTGTGCACCTGCTATGCCAATATTCCGCTGAGAGTCTGTACTTTTCAGGTGCAAATGGAAATTTTGTGTCAAAAGTAAAAGTCTTCAGGAAAATAGAGCTCATTTAAACGTAAACTCTGCTCTCCAGACGCCAGTCCCTTCGTCACCTCCGGCTTTGCAGAACGGCGACGTTTGTGCCGGTGCGGACCATCAATCACATGAGAGGCGGACATAATAGCAGGGGCCTTTGCAAGTCGTTTTGGTCGACGAGGAGGCCAAAACAGTTCGCATAGACTAGGAGTTAAAAGTGCACTCAGAATCCTATACATAGAGGACTGGCGTGAATGCTGTTCAACCGTCGCGGTTTCACTTTCGGGGGCAAGGGTGAATTTGCAGAAAATAACTCGTCTGCTCACACACTGCTGCAGGCTGTAACTGATGTGTTTATGCGAGAGGAACCCTTGCCAAAGGAGAGCCTTTGGAGTTGTGGAGCTAGAAGCTGTTATTAGTCCCTTGAAGGTGTCAAGAACACCAAGACGCTTTCGGTTTGGGGAGCCAAACCCGTTAATTGTCGAAGGCATTTCTAAGAGCACCCTTCGTACACGTGGGCGTATTATGAACATTCGCGCGGAGCTGGCTAGTCCAGATGAGATTTGTTCGGGGAGACCGCTCAACTTTGGGGCTAAACCACAATGGCTTTCATCCTCTCCATTTCCCAATCGCAGTGTCAGATGCAGTTCATGTGAGGCGCCTTGGTTTTTGGCCTTTATCCACTTCCTGTAAAAATCTCGCAGAACTTCCGGGATACCTTTACTCACATAGAATGCATGGCGAAATAAAAGAATTTCCTCCGCATTTGAAAGACAGATAAGTGTCGGTTTTAAGTCAGCTAGTCCTCCGAACGGTGACTGGCGAATGGTTGTTAGGTATGCCGCTCGCTCGATGTGATGAACATGAATGCCAGGTCTATACGTCGACACCAGGAAACGCCCTATCTGATGAGATAGTCGAGGTAAAGTCTGGCTGGACTTCAGCGACCAGGAGTTGGGAAACGATAAACGTTCAGGTGTGTGAATATTCGGCAGTCCTTCCATCGTATATCCATCGGGTATGGAGCAGGAGCCATTTTGGTCATTTTTTTCGTACTCCGCTCCCGGTAGAGCCTCGTTGTCTGACTCCGCGGGTTCGCACTTTTTGGAAGCCGTAGTAGGGCTGGAGGAGACTTCGAAAAACTTCCCATCAGAGGCTACTTTCATTTCCGCGCCAGGCAATCCCACTCGAAGATCCAGTTGCCCTCCGCTATCCAACCCCTTCCTCTTCTTCGGCCAGGAAATTAGTACATCAAGATTGTATGTCCTCTCTGTGCCCCCATCTTCCGAATTGTCTCCAGGGCATACCTCGGACTCTTGAGTCAGCTTAAGAACTGATCCATCGACTGAGGCCCGAATTCCGATGACTGAGTGCTCGCAAGATCCTCGCGACCTCGAGTCCGGCCGCTTTGTAACCTTTTTGGATATCTTAACGAGTTTAGAGTCCGCCTCTTCAAGTTCATTCACCTGTTGTGTGTCAAGAACAATTTCCGGAATAGGCCTTTCTGGAAGGTCTTCCACCTCCTGAATAACTGCATCTAAAACTTCAGTAGGCTGATCTGCGGTTTCCAACGGGCCTTGGGAAACCACCTCGTTAGCATCGTATGCGTCTATCTGGAGAACATGTAAAGGTGAATCTCTGGGCACTAATAAGTTGTCATTCAAACTTTCTTGACCATTGCCGTCTTCGGTGATCTTTGTATTGGTGACGGACTCTTCTGGAAGGTCCTGAGATGGAACAAAGTCTTGGTTTGCCTCTGAATAGGGTACAAATTCTTGGGTCACAACGGGGCTCGAGGACAAGTCGATGACACTCTCGACAACAATTTCTTTGCCGTCGGTCGATATCACACTCGCGATATTGGTTTCATGGCCTAATTCATCGACCGCTGTAATTTTAATTCCTTCTATTACTGATGCCCCTGATGATTCACCGATCT